ATTCTTAAGGGCTCTAGAATTTTCAGAATGGTGAATGAGCATTGGCTTAACTTAAAGTCACCAACTACATTAGCCCCTAACAAGAGATTCAGTCTGTTCTTTGATGCTTTGAACCCAGACATTGACTTCTCTGTAGCTATATAAGTCTTAGATGGCATCTTCTTCTGCTACAAGGCTGTTTCATCTACATTGAAAAATCCGTTGTTTAGTGTAGCCACTTTTATTAACTATCTTAGTTATATCTCCTGGATCATTTGCTGAAGCATCTATATCAGCACTTGGTGCTTCACCTTGCACTTTTATGTTATGGAGATGGCTTCTTTTCTTGAATTTTATATACCAACCTCTGCTAGATTTAACTTTTAAAATATGTTTTTTTAAGTTGATATTTTAGAGAGAGAGGAAGAGAGGGGGAAGGAGGGAGAGAGAGAGAGAGAGAGAGAGAGAGAGAGAGAGAGAGAAATATTGATGAGAGAGAAACATTGATCACCTGTCTCCTGCACACAACTCCAACCTTTTATTTGATCTGGGGTAGCCCTAGGGTAAGGAGGTTTGTCTGGGGTAGCCCTAGGGTAAAGTGGTTTGAATGACACATGGATTAGCTCATCAGTAGACAATTTCCAGAAATAGGCAAAATATATGATCAACAATAATCAACAAGAATCTACACAAGAATCTAAGGAACTCAGTGAACTAAGGTGGGGATGATGCTTCAGCTACCATTATCTAGATTAACTGGATGGTGTCTAAATTAACTGGGTGGTGCACAGTCCTGACCTTTTCTAGGACTTTCAAAGGTTACTAGCTTTTGGGGGTCTCTGTCTATACTCAGCTAGTGAAGACAGTAAATGGTTTCCTGCAGGGGTCGTGACCCACAGGTTGAGAGCCGCTGCAGTTTAAACAATAAAGAATTAAAAAAAAAAAAAGGATGGCCCAAACCAGTTTGGCTGAATGGATAGAGCATCAGCCTGTGGACCTAAGTCCCAGGTTCATTTCAGGTCAAGGGCATGTACCTTGGTTGCGGGCACATCCCCAGTAGGGGGTGTGCAGGAGACAGCTGATCGATGTTTCTTTCTACCCCTCTCCCTTTCTCTCTGTAAAAAAATCAATAGAATATATTTTAAAAAAAGAATGCAAGATTTCTCCTAGGAATTTTGGGGTGTATTTCTCTATTATCAGAAATCTAATTGCTACTTAAAATTTTACGGTTTGGACAGCATTTCACTCTGTTTCACTATCACCCTGACATCCTCCTTTTTAGTCTCCTCAGTTTCCCAGGGATTCTACTTCTCAGCATCCTAATCAGTGTTCAGACCCTAATCTGTGACAGTTTTCACACTCCTGGCTTTGCAAAATAGCATGCTAAGTTCTCCAATTTATTATTCTGCTCCCACACCTTGTCTGTTAGCCCCGAAGATAACAGAGTAGTGGACATCTGTATGACTTTCTCTAACTTTAGCTTGTCTTTAAAACACACACACACACACACATTATTGCTTTTCAGAGAGGAAGGGAGAGTGAGTGAGAGATAGAAACAAAAATGACGAGAGAGAAGCATTGTTTGATTGCTTCCTGCACACCCCACACTGGGGATTGAGCCAGAAACCTTGGCATGCGCCCTGACTGGGAATCAAACCGTGACCTCCTGGTTCATAGATGGATGCTCAACCACCGAGCCATGCTGGCCGGGCTAACTTTAGCTTTTCTTCTAACTTTCTAGCTCCAGCTTCAGACTCTAGCTGGACATTGGTGGCCAGCCCAGCTGCCCACAGTAGAGGCCAGCCCATGGTGGCGGCCATTTGTTTCCCTTCTTTGCAATCAAACCAGCTGGTATTTGTTTCCCCTCTTTCCCCTCAAACAAGCACATCAAACCAGCTGGCATTTTCAGAGTGTCCTCGTACTCATGTGGCTGTCCATTAGCATCCGATATGGGGGCTACCTCTCCCCACATAGAGGTCAATGTCAGACTTGGAATTCCCCCCATGGAAGTCTCTTTCCTAAGGCTTTCCTAAGGCCTATTTCTTCAGTCTTCTGACTGGCTTGCCAATTGTTAGTTGTGAACTGACCCCCCTACATGGAGGGCAAGGAAAGTTCTAAGAAAAAGGCAGAGCACTCCAAATGATAGGTGGTACTTTTTTTTTTCCTTCTGTTTTCAAATTACTGGTTTCTCTGGGCTCTGGACATTCTGCTGTTTAGCCCATCCACTGAGCTTTTCATTTTGCTTATTACAGTTTTCAATTATAAATGTCCATTTGTTTCTGTTTTATATCTTTAAGTTCTTTGCTGAGATTTTCTATTTCTTTGCTGAGGCCTTCTATTTTATCCTTGGTTCAAATATGTTTGTACTTTCTTGTTATAGCATCTTTGTCATTGTTTCTTTAAAATCTTGGTCAGTTAATTCTAATATTTCTGTTTTCTTGGTATTGGCATGCATTTATTAGTTTTTGAAATTAATTATGAGAACTTTGCAGTTCTTACATTTTTCCATTGAAATCTGCCCTTGGAATCTGGACATTTTTGTATTAGGTTCTGAGCATCTAAATTTTATTTCAACCTTCTGTTTTAGCTGGCTTTTCCTGACACCACTCTGGAAGGAATAAGGAAGCCCTGCTTTGTACTGCCTGATGTAGATAGACTTGACCTTGATATCTAGTGGGTGGGGCTCCTTGTTACCTCTGGACAAAGATGGGAGTTCCAGTTTCCAAGTGGTTCCTTGATTTTTTTCCCAGAGTTATTGAGATATTATTGACATGTAAGTTTAAGGACTACAGTGTGATGAGTTGATACAGGTACATTTCAAAGTGATCACCACAATAAGGTTAATTACCTCCATCCCCTCACATAGTTACCTTTTATGTGTGATAGTAAATTTTAAAATATACTCTATTAACAACTTTAAATTATTTAATACAGTCAAAAAAGTAAATTATGTAATACAATCTTATTAATTATAGTGACTAAACTGTACATTAGATTCCCAGAACTTATTCATCTTAGAGCTGAAAGTTTATACCTTTTGACCAACATCTCCCCATCTCCCACCCCCCATCTCTGGCAACAACTATTATACTCACTGTTTCTATGAGTCTAGATTTATTTATTTTTATTTATTTAATTTAAAAATAATTTTATTTTTCAATTACAGTTTACATTCAATATCACTTTGTATTAGTTTCAGGTGTACAGCATAGTGGTTAGTCAATCATATACTTTATAAAGTGATCCCCCAATATTTCAATTACCCGCTAGGCACCATACACAGTTATCCTATCTAATAATAGACAAACATGGTAATTAACCATACCTCCGCTATGCTCCCCATTGGCTAATCAGCAAGATATGCAAATTAACCACCAACAAAGATGGCGGCCGACAGCCACACAGTTGAAAGGAACATGAGGCTTGCTTGCTCCAGTGACGGAGGGAGCCAAG